CAGAGAGAGAGAGAGAGAACCACACAGAGAGATGGACATACAGAGAAAGATGTCAAATGTCAATTTTGGACATGAGGATCTGAGGTGCTTTGTTGATAGATATATAAGTGGAAATTTTGAGTTGAAGTTTTATTTTATTATTTAATTTCAAAAAAAATTTAAAAATGTTTATTTATTTTAAAAATTTTTTTATGTTTATTTCTGAGACAGAGAGACCCATGAGTGGGGGAGGAGCAGAGAGAGAGGGAGACACAGAATCCGAAGCAGGCTCCAGGCTCTGAGCTGCCAGCACAGAGCCCAATGTGGGGCTCGAACCCATGAACCATGGGATCGTGACCTGAGCCAAAGTCAGACGCTTAACCGACTGAGCCACCCAGGCGCCCCATGAAATTTTAATGATATCTAGGACAGAGGTCTGGACTGATTAATAGAGACTTCAGAGTCCTTTGCGTAAAAGAGATAATTGGAGCTATAGTAGTAGATGATATATACTTCTGAAAATGAGGAGACGAGAGCCTAGGGTGAGGGTTGAGAAATTTTCTCTATAATAGCCTCATAGACAGGGTAGAAGATTCTTCAAAGCAAGTTTGCTCTTACGATACCACAATTTTCCTCTTACATTTCTGGACATCCTTTTTCTATCAGTGAAGAAAACGATTATGTTGTTTGCTTAGAGTAGGGAGGCAGGCTCTGATAGAGGTCCTCAATAGAGATACTTAGGTTTAAAATAATGGCCAAGGAAAGTAGGAAGGAGAGTTAATCAAGTGAAAGGATTGAGGAGATGTATTGAAGTTCTAAAATCAGATGCCATATGTTTGTCATGACAATAATCTGAGTGGTTATAACATTTTCTTCAGGAGTGTTCTGCTTTGAGGTACCAGGATGACATTGACCCTATGTTGGGAGTTGGCCCGATAAATGCAATACAGGGAGATACATGCATGGATTTGAGGACACTGGTGGTGAGTAGTTCATATGCCCAACTGTTTGTAGTTTCTTTAGAGGAAGGCTGAGAGACTGTGGGGGAAATTAAGACTCAGGAACTGAAGGACTCAGTGAGTTTGAGGACTAGGTGTGTGCAAGGGAGGATCCTGAAAGGCATCTGGGTCAGAGAATGCAATGTTTGCAGTTAAGATTTTGGGTGTGGAGCCATTCTTGGTGATGACAAAGTTCAGGATGTTTCCCTGGCAGTGTGGGGGAGTCTAAGCTGAGTGAAAGCGAGATTTGTTATTGTGTATTTGAGGTCAAGGAACAGTTGATTGAAGGTGTTGGGTGGATTGCCCGCAGAGATACTGAAGTTTTCTAGATGTGGGCAGGAGTGGGGTTGAGGAGGAAAGAGGAGTGTCCTGTCCTAACGAACGTAACCAGAAGGTCAGCAGATGATAGAAACGTAGAATTGTACGTGGTAGTATAGTCAGAGGGCATGGATACCAGAGTGGAACTCTGGTGGTTCTAAAGTAGATCAAAGAGCTCATAGCTTGTCACTCCTACCCTTAGTCGTATGGGAGGTGAAATACATACCATAATGTGGGGAGATGCTTTGCTTTTAAGATTTTTTTTTCCTTTTACATACAGTAAGGAGATTCCCGAAGGCATAGTGGTTTGAAGAGAGAAGCCAGAGAGAGGAAGTGCAGAAATTAAGGGGTTAAGAACAGGGGAGGTAAACTGGCCTTCTTCTGGCATAGGAGGATTATAGGAGTGGAACCCTTGATTGAAATTAATTGACCACAGATATTCCAAAGACGGAGTGAGTCATTTGGTGACAAAGATGTCTGAAGGTCTGAGGTGGGATCTGGCCCAGTCATGTGTGGGTGGGCTCACTGTGTGGGAACTGGGGTCATGAAGGATGTGAGCATGGTCTGTCTCCTGTGTGCAGGGTGGAGGGATCAGGCCTCTTATCCCTGGGGTGGTCTCATGATGTGATGAGTGGCCACATGCAAGATAGTTTCCACTTAACATCTCATCTCTAGCCTCATGATAAAGCCGAAAGGCGGCCACAGCGATAAGGATAATAAAATATCTGCCTTTCTTCCATCCCTGGAGCTGAGAAGATTCAGTGAAGTCATTTGTGGAAAAGCACTTTAAAAACTGTAATTGCTAGATGTATGTTAAGTTTTATTGTTACCCACACCTTTGATGTCTTTCTCTGCGTGCTCATCTGTGTATGTGTAACATATTCCCTAGGATAATAAGAGCTTCCCGTTGATAAAGCCAAGATTCTTTATTTATAGCGTTGGGCTGGCACCTGGGCTGATTCTCTTCGGTGATTATGTAGTCTTGATGTGGACTGGCATCTTTCCCTGGAGTTGGTCTCCCTCAGCAGCTTCTCATGGCCAGAAGCTCCATCTCTGTATCTTTCTGTTACAAAGCCTGGATTCCCTTCTAGACCACCCACCAAGTTCCTTGCTCCAGGCTTAAGAACGCCTCCAGCTCCTGGCTCATTTGCAGAGCTGAGCTGACTGGCATGCCTTAAGCCAAGATTTCCAGGTTCCCCTGGATGAGTTGACAGAAGACATCCACAGGAAAGTGGTGCTAGACTCTGAGAATTGCAGTTTGAAGCTGTCTAAAATCTTTCACGGAGACAGGCAGCTTTGATTCTAACCAAGAGAAAGGCATTCCTTTCTGAGTATTTCCTCGCTCCCTTTGAAATTGAACTGAGACTGTACTCGAGTTTTTAGATGTTGGATATTCTTGGAAGGGGAAAGGCAGCTTCTGTGGTGGAATAGACTTTTTAAAGGGTAATTTCCAAGCAGGTTCATTAGCTTTGTTCTGTCATCACTTTCCTACAGATGGTGATTTTGTTTTCCTTTCACGGCCTGGGACATGGAGACTGTTTTTCTGCAGAAACCACATGCCTGAGAGTAATGGGGTGCACCTATCTCTGTCGTGCAGCGCGATACGACACGCTTGGTAAACGAGGAAGAAGTGCCCAGATTATTTTTAGTAAAATGTGATTTCGTCTCGAGAGAAGAAAACTCGGTTATATGTTCCCTTTTCTCTCTTAGCTTACAACATTATGTGATGGATGTATTCTATGCTGGGTGGGCTCTTACCCCTGCCTCTTCATTCCGGAATAAGGGCCATTTTGGGCCTTCGGGTAGGAACTGCCTTGGAGAATCGCCTAGAGACAGAAGTTCTTTGAACTGCCACTGATTTTGTCTGAGGCTTCGAATCCTCCCCTGGAAGGCTGGTGACCTCCCAGTGCCTTCTTTCTCAGATCGCTCATGTTGACTTCTCTCCAGAAATTCTGATTTTTATCCATTTGAATCTCCCCTGACTTCCTTTACAGCACCATCTGGGTGGCGAAGAGTTGGCATTTACTAGGTAAACATTAATGTGTTTAAAATTCCCGTTCAACTTACATTTTCTGCCTTGGTAATGCTGCTCTTCCGGCTTCTTGAGAATTCCCCAAACTCCATGCTGATCCTTTATCACGTCACTCCAAACTGCCTGGGGCGTTCCCCTCAAAGCATAGGGATTTGGGAGGTGAGGATTTCTGTTAGAGTCTCCTTCTCTAGAATCAGCTTTGGAAGACAGCTGATCCCAGTTTCCAAGGATGCACAGAATTATTGAATCCTCCTTTTTTTTTTTGTAAGTCAGGGAAAATTTAGCATGAGTGTTCCTTGTGGAATGGTACAGGCTGTTATGTTCAGACAGATCGTAGCATGGATTTTTCTTACCATAAACAGACAGATGTATAGTGCATCTTTTATTTAGGAGACGGGACTTAATCATTGCCATCTTCAGTACTTAGTGGTGTTGCCAAAACGGTGTGGTCAGAATGAGGGAGGGAATAAATGAAGCTTCAGAGAAAACATGAGCTGGGTTGAGTCATGTAAGCAAGTATCTCAACTTTCTCACCTAACGCACTACCGAAGTGTGTTCCTGTCATCACAGAGTGCCAATTTAAAAAGAAACTGAAAAAGGGGCGCCTGGGTAGCTCAGTTGGTTACGTGTCTGATGCTTGGTTTCGGCTCCGGGTCACGATCTCACCGTCTGTGAGTTTGGGCCCACACCGGGCTCTGTGCTGACACTATGGAACCTGCTTGAGATTCTCTCTCTCCTGCGCTCTCTGCCCCTTCCCCACTCACTCTCTCTGTCTCTCTCTCTCTCAAAAATAAAGTTAAAAAATTTTAAAACGAAAATAAAAAGAAACTGAAAAGGATGAACACACACACAAGCAGCCACGTGTCTAGGAAGGATGTAGAGACGTGAGATACGAAGGCAGGCTAAAGCATCTCTGGCCACAGAGTTCTCCGTGCTGGCCACAGGAGTTCCATAATACTTATTGATTGGATTGTTTTTTGAAAGACTACAATGATCTACCGAGAAAGGAGCCTAAAATGTCTTATAAATCTTAAAGAAGAAACAGGCTTTAATGTTCCATATTCAGCTATAAAACACAAGTCCAAAAGCTGGCTGTATGTTGGGGTCCAGATGAAGAAGGTAAAAGTAATCAGTGGAGATGGGCAAGTGTCCAGAATCTGTTTCTATTCTCCTTTTCTTCATTCTTCCCCAACTGAATCAGACTACTCCACAGTCCTGTTTTCCTGTTCACAGCTGTGAAGACAGTAGGGTCCCGGCCCTCATGGACCTTATAGTCAGTCAAGGAAGGCAAACATTGAACAAATAACTGTAGGTGTGAAAAGGGTCAGGGAAGGAAAAGTTCAGGATGCACGGGGGTGTAATTGAATTCAAGAGATCACGGGAGGTATTCCTGAGGAACTGTGAGCTGAAGGAAAAGAAAATTTGATTAGGTGACACTGGGGAATCAGGCAGGGAGTGGGAGAAGGATATTCTAGGCAGATACGACAGTATGCACAGACTTGGATTTGAGAAAGTGTGGTTCATTCAAAGAACCTGAAAGGTGGGGTTTTAGAGCATAATTGTATGTTTTAGGGACAAAATGGGAGTCAGTAATGTTCTAGTTTGGAGGAACTAAAGTTCATTGATTCATTGATTGAATCATTAATGTTTATCAAATGATTGCTATGTTTCAGGCATTGCGTGTGGTCCTGAGGATGTAAAGTTGAATAAGGATGTTCCTGCCTTTCAAATGCCAATAATCCTTGGAGAAGATATGCAAACATGTGAACACTATACCATATGATATGCATGCCCTTCAAGGTAAGTGAGAAGGTTTAAGTACAATCGAGTGGTCAGTTTCACTTGAGGGGAGGGCTGTAATCAGGGAAGATTTCCCAGGGAAAAGTTTGGTGCAGTGGGTATAAACACTTTTCGGAGAGATAAGGAAGAATCAAGGCATCTAAGACAGAGGGAAGACTGTGTACAAGGGCAGAGGGACCTGTGACGACAGAGTACAGGGAAGAAGCTACAGTCGGGCAGAACTAAAGCGTGGGGCACATGATCAAGTGCCTGTTATTTGTCATGGCAATGGCAGTAGGAGTCTAAGTTTCCTCCAAACAGTTAACTTATTCTTATACCCTAAGATAGACATTAACAGAAGCTCACAGAACCAGAAATCAATGCACATGTAAGTGACCTAAAAGGTATTTTGTCCAGTGTAGTTGTTGACTTTGCCTGACCCAATGGACTTGAGTTGGGAGCACATAGGCCTAGAGTAGCTGACAGCCATCTTGTGACACACGGGGCCTGAAAGCAGAGCTAGTTTATAGGAACATAAGAGAGAGATGGGAGAAAATTAGATCCTGGTGACGTTATTCAAGCCACTGGATTAAGCCACACCTGAAACAGGTGCATTTCTAAATTCTTCAGTTACAAGAGATAAGTCAGTTTGCATTTTTTGCTGAAGTCAGTTTGATACATATATATATGTACATATAAGTTATATGCATGTATATATTTTTGGTCATTTGCAACCTAATAGATATATTTGGCCTCTTAATTTACAGTTCAGGAGACTAATTTTCAGTACGCTAAAGTGACTCAATATCAAGTGGTTAGTCAAAAACTGAGACTAAAACTGAGGTCTCTTGACTCAGAGGCCAGATTTAGGAATATCCAGCATTTAAAAAGCATATGCTTGTGAAGACCTAAATATACATGTATCTAGAGATCTGTTTTGAGGGAACCACATATTTGAGAGTGTGACTGAGTTTAGTTTTAAAATGACATTTCCAAGTGACAACATTGCAGAAAGAGCATCACTTCATGGTCTATTTGCCACTAATCATCATTGTGACCTTGGGTGTATCTCTGGGCCTGAGTTGCTCATGGGATGTAATTATCTTTAATTCCTCTTCCATTTCTATGATTTGAAGAAGAAGTACACTCAATGTTCAATTACCCATGGTGGATCTTACATATTCCTACATATTCTGGGCTAACCTTCCTTCTGGATTATTTTTGATATTATTGGGTTCAATGCCACAAATATTTACTGAACACTGATCATGGGCTAGGGGTTGCAAAAGAGAGTAGTTATTTCTAGTCAGTATTACTTACATACTTTTGTATTCTCAGATGCAATTTGATATTGTTTGTAGCCCCAAACAATCCAGGGAACGTGTGATCCCAAACAAGAGCAGGGTTAGAGAGAGGGCTCGGCTTGACTCTGTGCATCAGTAGGAGAAGTGAGGCTGTTGTCGGCAGTCAGAGGGAGGCATAGAGCAGAGTCCTGAGGAACACAGGCAGGTTGGAAATACATTTCCGTCTGAAACAGAATTGGGGTTGAATCATAAGTCTTTAGAAGATCAGCACCATACCTATCACTGTGGATACCTTTGGGTCCTTTAAAAAAAATTTTTTTTTAATGTTTATTTGTTATTGAGAGAGAGAGAGAGAGAGAGAGAGAGAGAGAGAGACAGAGCATGAGCAGGGGAGGGGCAGAGAGAGAGAGAGACACACAGAATCCGAAGCAGGCTCCAGGCTCTTAGCTGTCAGCCCAAAGCGGATGTGGGGCTCAAACTCACAAACCGTGAGATCATGACCTGAGCCGAAGTCAGACGCTTAAGCGACTGAACCACCCAGGAAACCCACCTCTGGGTCCTTTAAGAGTGGTTGTCTCCAAGTTTGGGAACAATTTACTAACATTTTTCTTTGTATGATATTATAAGCACTTAATTGGTTGATGAACTCTTTTGGATAATTTTTTTTTGTCATATAGCAATTAATGTGATTCACCCAAGTAATTTTTTAGCTTGTAGTCCGTTTCTTAGCCTGTCCACAAACAGTTCTGTCAGCTGCACAGTGACCCGGAGTTCCGCAGCTCCACCCGAGTCTGGGGAAGGGGCAAAGACACCGGCTGGGCAGCTTGCTGGAGCCAGGTGCTGTCTCCTCTCTAACCACGTTGGCCAGTGTGACCCTGCACACGTGATGTGAATTCTTTAAGCCTTAGTTTTGTCATCAGTAAAATGGGAATAATTGTATCTCTCTCAAGGGATTGCCCAGCACAGAGCCTAAATAAATGTTATTAGATAATAGTGTATGAGTGGGGTTTCGTTTGAACTGTGGTCAAGTGAATTATTAGGTTCCAAAGAAAGAAAATGACAGGCGCACAAGACAGCCTAACTTGTAAGGTCAATATACAGAATGAAGACAAACCACAGTTTGATAATTTCACTTGGCCAGAGGATAAAAGTCCCAGGTTGTCCCAGCTTAACTTACTACTGTGCTTTGTAACTCTATGAATGTTATTTAACCTCTCTAGATTTCTATATCTTCATAGCTAAGTTGAACATAATATTGCAATCCTATTTTATAGAAACTAAAAGGAGACAGTGAATATTAAAGTCTTTGTGATTGAAAACATGAATGTGAAAGTTCATGTTAATATGGTACAGTTAACCTTAAAAATTAATATGGTTATATACCTTTCCTTTTTTTTTTTTTTACACAATACACATTATTTTATATCCATTGGCCTCTACCACTTATTAAAATAATTCTTTTCTCTATTTTATTTTATTTATTATTTAAAAAATTTTTTACATTTATTCATTTTTGAGAGACAGAGAGAGACGGCACAAGCAGGGGAGGGGCAGAGAGAGAGGGAGACACAGAATCCGAAGCAGGCCCCAGGCTCTGAGCTGTCAGCACAGAGCCCGACGCGGGGCTGGAACTCACAAACCGTGAGATCATGACCTGAGCCGAAGTCGGACGCTTAACCAGCTGAGCCACCCAGGCGCCCCATCTTTTCTCTGTTTATTAATTTCTGTGAGGCTAACACTGCCTTTGTACTTTATAAAAGGGTTCCAGAAAAGCTGTATTTGTCAAATGTTTCCACTATACCGTTGAAAATTGATAACTATTGTCAACTTATTTTTTTCCACCAAGAAAATAATTGTTCCCTTCTAAGGAACTATTAATTTTTAGGACAATATTTTAACTCTTCAAAAGATTATCTGGGACATGTGTCAAGCCTTTACTTTCTTCTGCTAAATATTTCGTTTTTTTTTTTTTAAATATTTCTAATAGTATCTGTGCATCTAAGCTGGGAAACTGCAAAAATCCCCTAACATTTTCAGATCAAGCCACGTGTATTTAATATACACCACCTCAAAGAGGAAAATTACCATAGCACTCTGTAGTGAGGAGAGAACTGAGAGATTTCTAAGAATATATGGGTGTAACTTTCTGTTAACTGAGAGTGATTGGCATTTCTTGGAAACCTGCCTCTAAAATAACCTGTTTGCAGCCCCTTAGTTTTGTTTGGTATAAAGGAAGCTGTCGCTTACCCATTCAGCTACCAGAAGCTCTCTTTACCATCTTAACTGCCTATAGATATATTATATAAAATTTATGTTTGGGGCACCTGGGTGGCTCAGTCAGTTAAACTGTCCACCTTCAGCTCTGGTCATGATCTCACGGATCGTGAGATCTGTGTTGATAGCTCAGAGCCTGGAGCCTGCTTTGGATTCTTTGTCTCCCTCTCTCTTTGCCCCCCGCCCCTCAAAAATAAATAAGCATTAAACATTTTTTTAAATTTGTTTATTTAATTTAGCTTTTTAAAAAACACATTCTTTCTGTTTCAACTTGAGAGTTGACTGAAATAAGACGATGTATGTAAAACTAAACTGTGGTCTAGATCTAAAGTCATTATACACAACTAGGGGATTTTAATAAAATTTGAGGTTTTGGAATTTTAAGATCCTATTTCCAAAAGGAGGAGTTTTGTTTCATCTCGTATGCTTGGCCAAAGAGCAACTATATGATACTGATAAAAACAGTAGTCCCAAAGAAGAAAGAAGACTTAGAAGAAAAAGTCAAGCCGAATTGATTTTGTCTGCAGAACCTGCTTTAAAGGGGATTTTGAAATTATCACTAGATATGATCTTTGATGAAAGAGGTTGGGGAGGGAGGTTTGCGTAAAGCACTTGAGAAACCTACCTGGTCACTTTGGGATACACAGCACACTCGAAGTCTAAACCTCAGACTTCATATACTTGTTTCCTTTTGCCTCCCCAGTAAAGTCTTCATCCATCCCAAGACTCTTAATATGTTGCTCAGGCAGATACCACTGCTGGAAGCTGGAAGCTGGAAGCTGGAAGCTGGCAGTGGAGTGGGGTGGGGAATGAGTTTGGGGGATCGTTTTTGCTTTTCTTGGGCTTTACTGGATATCTGTGCTTCCCTATTTTCTGCCCCCCACCTCCCCCACCATCCTCAGCTCTGAGTTCAGAGAGAGGATCTGCACTCTCTGTGGGCCGTGGCTCAGAGAAAGCGTTATCTGGTCTCCTAAACCATATGGATCAGTTCACCATGAAATTTCATAGGCTCCAGTCCGCACATTAGACTTTCATCTGGTCTGCCACTGACATTCTAGACCATTGTTCCTCCATTTCATTGGCACACTGTTGGTGGTAAAAGAGAGGATTTTAGATGCTACATGGATAAATCTTTTATTTTGATTGTTACATAATTAAAAATATTTTTTTTGACGTTTTATTTTATTAGAGACAGAGACAGAGCGTGAGCAGGGGAGGGGCAGAGAGAGAGGGAGACCCAGAATTCAAAGGAGGCTCCGGGCTCCAAGCTGTCAGCACAGAGCCCGATGTGGGGCTTGAACCCACAAACACGAGACCATGATCTGAGCCGAAGCCAGAAGGTGAACTGACTGAGCCACTCAGGTACCCCTTGATTGTTATGTATTTTTAATGCATAGGAAAAACATTCGTTTCCATTGATGCAATGATATAAAGTTTCTGTAATGTCTTTAATTCTTCTTCATTTTAAAATTTTTATTTTTTATTTTAGAGAGAGAGAGAGAGAGAGAGAGAGAGAGAGCACAAGCAGAGGAAGGGGGCAAAGAGAGAGAGAGAGAGAGAGAGAGAGAGAGAGAGAACCCCAAGCAGGCTCCACAATTAGCATGGAGCCTGATGTGGGGTTCAATCCCATGACCCTGGGCTCATGACCTGAGCCAAAATCAAGAGTTGGATGCTTCATGGACTGAGCCCCCCGGGCACACCTAATTCTTCTTTAAACGCATTTATTTACATTACAAGTGTGTGTTGATTTAAAGACAAACATTAAAAGAGCTCTGGAGGATCTCAGGTGTGGCAGAAAACATGAAGGTGGCATGTGAATGGGTGAGGTTAGCTAAGCACTGTAGTAGACCCTAGGCTAGCTCCTTGCTTCTTTCCAGGCCCACAAACTAGTTAGACTCCAGAGTCAAGATGTCCTTTGCAGGTTGGCCTTTACCTTGAGAATGTCAGGCAATCATGGGGAAACACACCTCAGCAGGTTCTAGGGGACCTTTAACCTAGAGAGTGGTGAAGAATATGAAAGGAGGAGGCACAGGAAATGACTGAAATAGAGAAAAGGACATTTTGACTTAACAGTTGGATTTGTGAAGGTTTCCTGAAAGAGAGAAGCCTCAGTTGACTAGCAGGAGCTAGCCAGGCGAAGAAGAAGAGGGAAGAAATGATGTATTCTACTCTCATTTCTTAAACCATGAATGCAAATTTTGAGCTCTTCGTTAATTTGAGAGAGATGGGAAGGGCCAGGCTATCTGTAATTTCATTTCTGACACAGGCTTTCGAGTGTATGCAGTTTGGTATGTACCTCTTTTCCTGTGAAGGACAGAAGGAACAGGGTAACGGTCTTCTCTGTGACCAGTCCCACCAAAGGCAACTAGGGCAATAGCAAAATAGGGCAACCACCTGAGGGATGGCCACGCGTCTGAAACAAAAGCAGAAAAGAGAAGGAATTTCTTCCTGTATTTAATATGTTCCAGAAGTGTCCCATTTCTTTGTTTGGGAGTGTCTTCCAGCAGGGAAACTGTTTCTAAGAATGAGGCTCTGCTTAACTCTGGAGGGGACACGAGGAGAGACCAATGCCGGGGATCTTGCTCTTCTTGGCAGCTTTTATCTTTTCTTCTTTTTAAAAAATCTATGTATTTATTTTGAGAGAGAGAGAGAGAGAGAGCATGAGTGGGGTAAGGGCAGAGCAAGAGGGAGAGAGAGAACACCAAACAAACTCCACACCATCAGTGCAGAGCCGGACGCGTGTGGACCTGAAGATTATGACCTGAGCCAAGATTAAGAGTCAGACACTTAACCGACTGAGCCACCCAGGTGCCCCTATATTTCCTTCTTTATCTTTCCTCCTTTTTTAAAAATTATTTTTGTTTAATGCTTAGTTATTTTTGAGAGAGAGAGACAAGTGTGAGCAGGGGAGGGGCAGAGAGAGAGGAAGACACAGAATCCAAAACAGGCTCGAGGCTCTGAGCTGTCAGCACAGAGCCAGATGTGGGGCTAGAACCCATGGACCGTGAGATCATGACCTGAGCCAAAGTCAGACACTTAACTGACTGAGCCGCCCGGGTGCCCCTATATTTCCTTCTTAAGGTATGCTTGATAGAAAAGTCAACTACTGGCAACCTCAGCTTGGAGGGGTTTGAGTTCTTTTTTGAACATGAACAAAGAAATGCAAATAATATGCTCTTTCAGAGTAACGTAGAACAGGGATGTCTAATAGAAATATAAACTGAGCCACATTTATCCTTTAAAAAAACTATTTTAAACGTTTATTTTTTTGAGACAGAGAGAGACAGAGCATGAATGGGGGAGGGGCAGAGAGAGAGAGAGACACAGAATCCTTAGCAGGCTCTAGGCTCTGAGTTGTCAGCCCAGAGCCCGATGTGGGGCTTGAACCCACGAACTGTGAGATCATGACCTGAGCCAGAGTTGGACACTTAACCGATTGAGCCACCCAGGCGCCCCTACGTTTGTCATTTTTTTTTTTTAATGTTTTTATTTATTTTTGAGACAGAGAGAGACAGAGCATGAGCAAGGGAGGGTCAGAGAGAGAGGGAGACACAGAATCTGAAACCGGTTCCAGGCTCTGAGCTGTCAGCACAGAGCCTGATGCGGGGCTCGAA